TTAATGCCTTTTTAAGAATCAGGAATTAATAGACAGTTTAGGATCCAGTGTACTGTAACTGCTGGCATTTTTGTAAGTAGCCTCAGCTTCAAGCAAGAATGTGTTCTGAGTTCCCCTCTCTCTATTCTCTCAGTGCAAATCAAGACCATTTCAACTTGTTTTAAATCATTTGAATTAGGTATAGCAACTTTACCTATTTAAATATGACATAAAGTAAGCAATACTTTGAAAATTGGAATTATAGCATGTTCTTAGTTGGTGTTGACAAATTTCTATTGAAATGTGGTCACTTTCCAAATCGGATTTTGTATTCACCTGAGAGTACATGTTTCAGACTGAGGCCAATTGCTTGTGCCGCTGTAGATGGATTTTTGTGTTGGTGTGTTATGATTCCGTTTCACAAGAGGTTTAATTAACAAGCATTTCAGGGGGAAAGCTTTTTATTTCATGCTTCAAATGAATTTGAAATAAATAGCATTGTGAACTCACATTTGGTGCTTGTTAGGGTGGTGGAATGCTCTGATGAATCATACCAGATAAAAAGATGTCGATTGGAGGTGAACACGGGGGAGAGATGCATGCTTTTCATTTGTTTGAGAGAATGTAGGGTAATTAGATGTCATGGAGCATGTTCTTCTTGAAAATTTCTTGATTGAATTTATCTTGCTCTGTGTTTCATAGTTAGTTTGCACAGCCAAGAATCTTAGGTTTGATTGCAATAATTTATCCCTATTTTTCCCTTCCCAGTTTTATCATTTAAACACTGTCTTCTACTTCAAGCATTGAAAAATAAAGATGTAAGAATGAACTCTGTAAAATGAAATCCTTTCTTTTTATACAATTGCCAACCCTAATGTTTCCAATCTACCCTGGGTTTTGCTCATTTTTTATGGATTTGGAGTTTTGTTTTCATGAGGGAATTCAGAATTCCAATTTATTTTGTTGGTCTTTAAAATAAGATCATATTACTATCAACTAGAAAAGCAGACACTTGTTAAATGTAAAATTCTTTGACTTTGGTTTCCTCCTAATTAAATAGATCTTCCCTTTCTGTCCTGTGTAATATTTTCCTTCTTCAGTAAGGTAAGCTGGCAGTGTAACCTTTTTAGGAAACGGCCTTGAAATCAAAAGCAGTGGTACAATTCTTTCAACTTGATAAGTCAGTCAGCTTTTACTTAGGCTATCTATCATAAATGTTACATTTGGAACTTTTTGAGAAGTCTGAAAATGTCAGCTTGGTTTTAAATGAAAAGATCAGCAGAAAGAATGTGCTCCAAGTGCGAAGGTCTAAGCAGGGGTCCTCAAACTTTTTAAAGTGGGGGCCAGATCACGGTCCCTCAGAGAGCTGGAGGGCTGGACTATTTGAACTACTAATTCCTACTGTAACACCTCGGCTGCGCTCACTGCCCAAAAAACCTGGCGGGCCAGATCAGACTCCTCTGCGGGCCGCATGTGGCCCGCGGGCCGTAGTTTGAAGACGCCTGTAAGGCATCCAGTAGTAATAGCTATCAATTGGTCTTGTGTTTCTTAATCATCTCTAGCACTTTGTTAGACATCGTAACCATGTGGGAGTTTAAATAACAGTGGCTGTGATCATCCCATGGGGAACTAATAGAATGAAAAGGGATGAAAGCCAATGGCAGAACTAACAGTGAAGGACAAGCTAAAGAGGAGATAGCAAAGTCATGGTCAAAGAGATAGGAGAGAGTCCAAGAGAGGGTATTGTAACAAGAAGCCAAGGAAGAATTTCAAGAATATTGTTGACTCCCTTGGGTGCTATGAGAACTGGAAAAAAAAAATCTATTGAGTTTTGCAATTAGGAGGTCACTGCTGTCTCAAAGGGGAAGAGATCCTTCTTTTTTATAGAGCTGCATAGTATTCCATGTTGTAAATGTACCGCAGCTTTTTTATCTACTCATTACTGATGGGCTCTCAGGCTGTTACCAGATCTTAGCTATTGTAAATTGCACTGCTATGAACATAAGAGTGCATATATTCTTTCTGATTTGCATTTCAGGATTCTTAGGATATGTTCCCAGAAGTGGAATCACTGGATCAAACGGCAGTTCCATTTTTAATATTTTAGAAAACCATACTATTTTCCACAGTGGCTGCATTCCCACCAGCAGTGTACCCTTTTCCCCATGTCCTCCCCAGCACTTGTCATTTGTTGATTTGTTGATGGTAGCCACTCTGACAGGTGCGAGGTAATATTTCATTGTTGTTTTCATTTGCATCTCTCTGATGATTAATGACTTTGAGCATTTTTTTCATGTTTCTTGGCCTTCTGTATATCCACTTTGGAGAAGTGTATACTTAGATCCTTTGCCCTTTTTTTAATTGGTTTGTCTTCCTTTTGTTAAATTGTATGAGTTCCTTACATATTTTGGAAATTAATCGCCTATCAGATATATCATTGACAAATATGTTCTCCCACACAGTGAGCTCCCTTTTCATTTTGTTGGTGCTTTCTTTTGCTGTGCAGAAGCTTTTTATTTGGATGTGGTCCCAAAGGGGAACAGAGGAGAAAATGCACTGTGTATTTTGGATGATCCCTGTCTCTTAGCACTGTCACTGACAGTGATCATTAAGCAAGCATGTCAAACTTTCGGCTCACAACGAATATTTTTGCGGCCCAGCCAATTAACAATATGTAAGAAATGCTTTAATAAAAATTTTGTAATTTAATTTTTACAATATCCTGTTATTCATAAATTATTAATAACGAACTATAATGTTCGCTAATGACTGATTACTATAATCGTGTTGCATTCATTTCCCTTACACGCAGGTACACCATTTCTCTCCACTAATACTAGCAGCGAATATTTCACAGCCAGTTGCCACCTCATTAGTCTTGTACTGACTTGGTGGGTGCAACAAGAAATATTTCACTGTCAGAGAACAAGAAAAATAGGTTTATTTGCGTTACGCTTATTAAAATTTGTACAATTATTCAGTGTCTGGTAAGTTAATGTTCAAAAAATATATTAATTTTTTAAATGTTCTCTTATGTTATGTTAATCATTACTCACTTATTTCAGCCCTTTGTATGCAGTATGTCTCCATCGAAATAATTGATGCTGCTATGAAAATTGAAGCTTTTGTGTTTTTCCTGGCCCACATAAACTTAAACCTTGTTTGTTTGGTCTGTGTTAGCCTTTGAGTTTGACATGCTTGTCATTAAGGATAAACACCTGCTGTTTATTGCTGACTCAATTTGAATCAATGATAATAGTATATTTGAATTATTGCTTGATTTGTGGAGGGAATGGGGAGAAGGTATGGGAAAGTCTAATTGTAATTTTTCAGAAAATTTATAAAATTATTCTGTGGTAATAGTTAATGTCTTCCTTTAGGCTTTTACTACTAATTAGAAAGTGAACTGTGCAAGTGTGTGTGTGTGTGTGTGTGTGTGTGTGTGTGTCTTTGTATGTACATGCACATGTGTGTGCTCTTTATAGAAGTGCAAGCTTAGCATCATATCTGATAAAATATGGGAAGAGGGGAAAAAGGACTTTAAACATTAGAAAACATATATAACAGTTTGCAATGTTTACTATATTTACAGTAGTTTTGAGGCCTTTTCTAATTCTAATGGGCCCAGGAAAACTACTATATATATAAAAGCCCAGTGACCATTATAGCAGAATGACCAAAAGACCAAAACGACCAGTTGCTATGACTTGCACTGACCACCAGGGGCCAGACGCTCAATACAGGAGCTGCCTCCTGGTGGTCAGTGCACTCCACAACTGGAGCACTGCTCAGCCAGAAACCAGTTTCACAACTGGTGAGTGCAGTGGCAGTGGCAGGATTCTCTCACCTCCACGGCAGCACTAAAGAGCTGGAAACCAAGCAAAAAGGACCAAGAAGGCAAGCAGTTAGGAGGGAGCAGGCAGGCAGTTTGAAGTGAGAGGCCCCGGATGTGAGAAGGATGTCTGAGGGGTTCCGGATTGCAAGAGGGTACAGGCCAGACTGAGGAACCTCTCCTCCCCTGCACAAATTTCGTGCATCTGGCCTCTAGTATAAAATAAGAATTACAACCACTTCCATCCAGAAAAACTATTAGATATAATAATAATAATAATAGCATCTAATTTATTTTAAATTTTTATTATTCTACTGGTTGGGATTTCAAATTTATGTTTGGAGGGAAGCCATGCAAGAAACCTTTCTAAGTTCTATTAATTTATAGATCATGCCCAAAGATAAAATTGCATCTGTACATGACATCTTCCTTTTTATGTCATTTTACCCATTTTTCAAATTTATGATAATAGCACTAAGCTTTCTCCTGATTATTAAAGTGATTTTCCTCTTGTCTTCCAGAGAACAGCTGGAGAAATCATTTCATTTTACTGTTCACTTTTCTTTTGATAATATTAGCCTCAAAAGAAAGTAGCAGGAAAACGGAGTATCTTATTATTTTTTCACACAATCTCTCCCTTTTTAACTTTATTTTTTAATCTGTTTTTATTGTTGCAGTATTACAGATGCCCCCTTTTTTTCCCCATTGACCTCCTCCCCCTCCCCACTCCATCCCCACATAGTGTCTTTAGAGCAAGGAAAACAATGGCCTGGTTTTCACCATCCGTGTGATTCTGTTGATGAGTCTCTGAAAGCTTTTGTTCATTTATTCCTGTAACCACATCATCCTAACTGTGTAACCAGCTTCACTTCACCAAAACGTCTGTGATATTTTATCTTTGGCCTTCTTTAGCTGCTTACCTTAAGTATGCCATGTCAGCTTTTACAAAGTGCCCCTTAGGCAAAGCGTATTTTCTCATTCTGAGCATCCTTTTCAAACAACAGGATGTTTTATGACATTTATGAAGTAGCAAAGAGTTGTCTTTTTCCTTTCATTCACTTTCCATTCATTTTCCTTTTTTCACACACCATCATGAATGTTTCAGATATTTTCCTTGTATTTCCGTGTTTTATAAAGAGGCGGAACCCTGAGCATGGTCTTCTCTTTGTTTCTTTTGTATCGCCTGCAGGATGAGTATAAACCGGAAAAGTCTCTGTCCGAAGAGGACTTGAAAAACGCAGTGAGTGTGCACCACGCGCTGGCGTCCAAGGCCACGGACTACGAGAAGAAGCCCAATGTGTTCAAACTGAAGACTGCCGACTGGCGGGTCTTGCTCTTTCAAGCCCAGTGAGTTTTGCTGGTTTGGTTTCTTCTTGTTTCTTAGTTTGCACACCACCACTTCATACCTGGAAGAGAATCAGGATCCGCAGGGGAAATTTTTTGAGTTGGAGTCAAAGCCATTGTTTGCATTAGAGAGACAGCCGCCTAAGAAAACTAGAATAAGAAATAGAAACCGTGGGCTCAAGTGTTTTGTTTGCTACAAAGTAGCTCTGTGACATTTAGTGGGCCACTTGCCATCTCTAGAACTTCGTATCCTCATGAATAAAACACAAGGGTTTTAGTGTACAAGGCCTGTCACACAATGAGAGAAGCAAGCCTGGCTGCCATCACCATTTCCTAGCTCTTTGTCCTCCCATGTAATTTCACCTCTTGGGACCTCAGCTTGTCACTAGTGTAGATGACAATGTACATCTTGCAGAGTTCTTGTGAGAATTGGATGAGATCAGGTGTACAAAGTACCTCACACAGTGTCTGGCACATAGAAACTGTTCAATGATAAGTGTAGATTTCCACTCATTCTCTCTCTTTTCTCCCCTCCTAAGCTCAACTCTATGATTAAACTAGGTAGGAGAAGATGAAGTCATACTGTGGGCAAGGAAGTAGGATGGATTGCCAGTTTAATGAGGGGTCCATGCCAGCCTTTGGTTAGAAGTGGACCATCCCACATGGAGAATCCTGGGTGTGGGGTGAGAAACTGGATTTTCAGAGTGATTGTAACAGGAGCTCGCCTGGCGTGTGTTCATGGCAGGCAGTGTTCATTGTCAGCCTGAACGTGACTGCAGAATCACTCAACACAGCATGGCCGAGGGACCACCTCTGGCATTCGGGTTCAAATTTGACATCAAGATAGTGAGCATGAGCCCAGCTGGTGTAGCTCAGTGGTTGAGCATTGACCTATGAACCAGGAGGTCACAGTTTGATTCCGGGTCAGAGCCCATGCCCAGGTGGCAGGCACCACTCCCAATAGGGCACAGGAGGAGCAAATCAGTGATTCTCTCTCATCATTGATGTTTTTCTCTCTTTCTCTCTCTCTCTCTTCCTCCCTCTCTCTCTCTCTCTCTGTCTCTCTAGGTCTTTGTCCCTCCCTCTTTCCTTCCCTCCCTCCCATTCTCCCTCTCTGAAATAAAAAATATCTTTTAAGAAAAAGATAGTAAGCATGAGTGTCTGCCTACTTGTTGATCAAAACATTGTAAGACCCAAAAAAGAAATAGGAACAAGAACAGGTGCTCAAGTGATTTGTGAATGTCAAACCTGCAAAGGTATAAAATTGCTGACATCCGGTGAGGAGGAAGTTGCAAGGACATCCAAGTGACACAGGACTTTTGTAGTGTGGGATGAAGACAGCCTAACGCCACAAAGGGATCCAGAGGCACATGTACAACTACAGCTATTAGTAACAAAAGCCCTTCAAGTTATTCTATTCCCCAACATTATTTTCAACCTAAAATACCAGATAGAATAACTAGGAGATCCCAGTTCCTTCAGAAAGAACTGATGCCAGAATTAGTTAATTGAAATAAAGAGCCGGCAAAGTCAGGTTAGAGGGCACAGTGCAATGAGGAGATGATGCTCATGTGGTCTCAGGTTAGTGGGGTTTCTCTCCAAGTCATCGGTACAGGAAATGACATTTTGGCCACCTTCTGTTTATTGATTATACACATGGTGGATAATCTGTACTATTTCACAATCACGTATGAGTTCCCAGATATTTATTAACTGCTGTCAGTTCTAGACTCTGCAAATAGGTGATATGTAAGTTGACAAATGATAATCTCAGATAATATCTACATCCTCTCATGTAGGTTTTTTTTTTAACATCATATATATATATGTATACAACCCATTTAATTTCACAGTTAATTTGTACAATTCAGTGATTTTTAGCCAATTTACAGACTTGTGCAGCCATCACCATAGTTCTGTTTTGGAACACCTCCATCTCCCCAAAGAGATCCCAGTGCTCAGTTTACAGTCACCTCCCATTTTACCCCACCCCCACCCCCAGACACCACTGATCTCTTTCCTGTCTCTCTAGTATCGCCTTTTCTGGTCGTTTCCTATAAGTGATGTCATACAGTATGCCGTCTTTCATGTCTGGCTTCTTTCACTTGGCGTAGAGTTTTGGGGTTAGTCTGTGATGTGGCATGTGTCAGCAATTCATTACTTTATTGCTGAGTAGTGGTCTACTGTATGGATGTAGGCCAGATTTTGTTTAGTTATTTACTAATTGATGGACATTTGGGTTATTGTTTGTTTTTTTGTTGTTGTTTTTTTCTTATGGATCTTGTAAGGGTTGCTGCCGTGAATGTTCACAGATAAACCTTTTTGTGTCTCTGTATGTTTATTTCTCTTGGATTGTAGCTGGGAGTCGAATGGCTGGGTTACATGGTGACTTGTAGATATCTTTTGTTGTTAATCCTCACCCGAGAATATTATTTCCATTTATTTTCAGAGAGAGTGGGAGGGAGGGGGAGAGAGAACCATCTGTGTGATAGAGAGAGACCCATTGATTGGTTGCCTCTTTAACACACCCCAACTGGGGCCAGGGATCAAGCCTACAACTGAGGTATGTATCCTTGACTGGAACCGAACCTGAGACCCTTCAGTCCGCTGGCCAACAGTCTACCACTAATCAAACAGCCTAGGGCTGTAGATATCTTTTTTAAAAACTCAAAACTGCCTCCAACATGGGTGGAGCCCTTCATATCCCTTCCATCAGTGTATCCCTCAGTTCAGTGGTCAGCAAAATCATTAGTCAACAGAGCCAAATATCAACAGTACAACAATTGAAATTTCTTTTGAGAGCCAAATTTTTTAAACTTAAACTTTTTCTAACGCCACTTCTTCAAAATAGATTCCCCCAGGTGGAAGAGCCACACTCAAGCTGCCAAAGAGACGCATGTGGCTTGGGAGCCGCAGTTTGCCAACCACGGCCTCAGTTGGATTTTAAAGTCAAATAGGTGATTGTAAAAGATGAGTTAGTTTTAATAATTTTTTTTTTTTACCTAGCCTAAGTATCAAACAGAAAACAGGTTATCAAATATTTATTATCAAGTGATTTTGCTTTTCCCCCTCTGTATCCCTAAGGGGTAATCACAGCCTTACACTACGATGGTCTTAGGTCCCAGGGCCCTTGGTTACTATGGTGATTGCTGTTGAAAATGTTCAGCTCCAATGAAGTTTTGTCAGGGCTTAGTCGTACCAAGCAGAAGAAATGCTTTTTCTTTTTTGCCATTTAAAATGTGCCATTTTAAATCGGTGATGAGAAATGGGCAAGGTGTGATGCCCTTAGGTATAGAAATGCCCTGACGTCAGCACGTCTGTTTCTCCTAGGAGCCCGGATGAAATGCAAGGCTGGATAAACAAAATTAACTGTGTCGCAGCTGTGTTCTCCGCACCACCGTTCCCCGCAGCCATTGGGTCTCAGAAGAAGTTCAGCCGCCCACTTCTGCCTGCCACTATAACCAAGCTGTCTCAGGCAAGTCACTCTGGCAGGGCTTTGGCCTTGGGAATATTTGTGTGTGAATATTGCTCCACATGTGGGGGGCAGCGGTGAGACCTTGCCCTGGAATGGGTCAAAATACAGTATACTGGGTTTTACACTTCAGATAGGAAGCTGGCACAACTGAGTCAAGGTTAGTAGGTCACATACTTTGAATTAGTTTCTGAAATTTATATTAGTTTACTACTCAGTCAGACAGGCCTGGGTTTTTCAGTTTGTTTGTACTATCAGCTCATTTTTTTTTTCCTTTTAACTAACTAGCTAATGTTAGACATCCTGGCTTAGAAACAAGCCTTTTATACATTCTCTCGGTTTTTTGGATTGGGGTTTTCTCATATCCCAAGCTGTATTCGATGCTAAGTATATAAAAATGTTCCCGGGGATACTGCTCACAGTTGAGCGGGCAGCCTCCCTCCCCTCAGGCAGAGCTAAGTGCACTGCGTGGGTTTGCCTGGCTCCTCGAGACAAAGTGCTCGACCTCCTTCCAGATGTCCTCACGTGGCTTCTCTCCTGTGTCAGCCTGCTGTCTCTCAAGACCCCATTATGCCATGTCCCTCTCCTACCTAACACTCTGCGGCAGGGACATCGTATGCACTCCAGGTTTTCTAGCTTCAAACCTGCGGCAGCGCCCTATTGTCCTTGCCTACTCAGGGATTTGGGAAGTGACTTAGATGTCTACTGTGAATCTCTTACTGGTGCACCAATAGAAATGGACCCATCCGGCTCTAATCAGCCAGGTCTTGATATTAACAGGCCCCTCTACACATTTGATATCGTAACTGTCCTTGATACACTTATTAGATAAAAATGTATCCTGTGTCTGTTGTACTTCAGAGACTCTTTTAGTCTCTGGAAATAGAAAGGCAAATGGAGCCCAGATGCTGAGATTGGATTGGCAAACACAAAGGAGCAAGTCATTGCCACCCAGCTGGAGGGGAGGTTCAGCAAGGCCAAGTCCAGAGTGCTGTGGGGTACAAGAAAGGGGCATCTCTCCTGGCCTCGGCGGTGCAGGGGGACCTGTGATGTCTGTTATGAACCTGGAAGGACGAGCAGCAGTTAGGTGTGTGGGGAAGAGAGACTGGTCCAGCGGAGGACTGAAAGGCCCAGAGGAGAAAACCCTGGGGTACGGGAACCACACCTAAGTCATCACGTGTGGTTTGAGCGCAGAGTGTTGAGAAAAGGCTGGAAATGTTTCTGGAGGGAAGCAAGGCCAGGTGATGGAAGGTCTTATGGGTCATGTGAGGGATTCAGATGCTTCACTAGTTCCCCAGCATCCTCGGGATAACAGTGTGAAAGCAGCAAAGCAATGTGATTAAAAAATCATTCTTGTTGCAATAGGAAAGATTTATTAGAGAAGGAAATTTCTAGAAGCAGAAAGGGAATTTTACACTTTTAAAAAATATTTATTTTGGAGAGAGAGAGAAATTCATTTGGGGTTCTATTTATATATGCATTCATTGGTTGATTCTTGCATGTGCTCTGGCCGGGACCCACGCACAACCTTGGGATTTGGAATGACACTCTAAGCAACTGAACACCCAGCCAGGGCAGAAGGCTACTTTAAAGGCACTTTCGGTAATGCAGAGGGAACGTAACTGAGTTACTTGTAGAAGAGATGGATGGAAGTGGAAGTAGGTGAGAGCTCCCCAGGGTACGGAATGGATCATCCTGAGGCTCGGTGAAATGCAAGATTCAGGGCCACCACCTGAGCTTGAGCAGCTGGGGAGGGTGGAGTCTGACCTGGCTTTCAGCACCGCGGTGCCTCCTGGTTCCCTCCTGTTGCTTCTTGCCTGGGTCCTTTCCTCTTTCTAACTCCAAACGTTGTAGTGCCTGGTGCTCAGAAGCAGATCAGACAGACACTCAGCAATGTTTTTGTTTGTTGAAAACAAAACAACAACAACAACAAAACAGGGAGAATGTTGTGCCAAGAAAAGGAAGAAGAAAAGTCAAGTAAAAATAGGAGAGAAATGTCTCCTGTGATGTGGGGAGGTCGTTGGGTCCGTTGGTGACAGCAGAATGGAGTGATGAGAGAAGAAGCCATGTTGGTCTTTGCAGAAGAAATGAAAGGCAGTAAGGAAGTGGAGGAAGGGCCAAGTCTCACCCTATGTTTATAAAAAAACAGACTGGCAGCAAGAAGAGGGGAGACATGGTTTCAGGAAAGGTTCTTTTGTTTTTGTAAATTCACAATTATTACTAACTTGAATTGGATGCTTGCTCACCATGTAAGCCATTGCTAGCATGATGCAATGCATAGACTGCCCAGAAAGCTGGTAAGAATAGAAAGGACGAAGCCAGCTCACTTTACACAGCAGAATGGCATTTAATTTTCAAGGATAATAAACACTCTTAAAGTAAAAGGAAGGCATTACCTCTTATTGATGACCAGAGAATATATTGACAGATTTCTCCATCTACCCAAATGAGATCTGGACCCTTAAAGCAAATGCAGTTCCTCACTCTGTTTTTATATTTAACATAATGTTCACATAATTGTACTTAATACAAACAATAAAACACATTACATAAGGTCAGAAGAGGAAAGACAATTGAACCACTAGAGGGGAAAAATACCTTCAGAAGTGGAGTTCTATTAATTTCATTAGGGATTTCCCAATGGTTGTATTTCAACAGATTGGTCTTTCTCACAATTACTCCTATGAAAGATCATGGCAAAAGGGGAGCTGAAGTGAAGGAGGAACATTAATAAGCATAGAGCAACATCCGAGTTTTTCCTTGTTCTTTCTACAGAATCTGCATTTCTATTTACTTTCTACTTTGAAAAATGTGCTATTGTCCCGTGTGGGCTATATATTAGTAAGTCATTTAGTACTTGTACATGAAAATGAATGTGTTCATCTACTTGTCTGCTTTTACCGTGAGACCAGGTAGGCAAGCACCTTTATCGAGACAGAATCTCTAATTTAAATAAATCTTATGTACTGTGACCACAATGATGAATTCAAGATTTTAAATAGAAAAGCAATAACCAAAAAGCAGTATCCTCCTGTGTTACGTCATACAAGATAACCAAGCCCTTTCAAGAATTTAATTACTTTGTAAAATAAGTTGCTTGCCTTCCCTGCACATAAATCACCAAACCTTTCGGGCCTCAGTTTTCCCTCTGGAGAACACGGAGATCATTCTAGAATGGTTTTCAGGTTCTATCGTTAGCTCTGTTATTTCATTTTAATTTTTTTTACCCATGTCATCGTGTTTATTTACTAAATGGAAAAAAAAAAGTTTTACTTTTGAGAGCAAAAGGGCAATTTAGAAACCAATGTGTAAAGCCTCCCAGTGACCCAGGACAGGTTAGAAGGAGGGAAGAAGCGGGTCACATATAGCCCGATGCGGGCCTTTGGGCCTCCCTCCACTGCAGTGGCCTTTGCTGGAGTCGTCCTGCACCTTCAGTGAATTCCAGGATGTGTCCAGACGCCCCTGAGCTAGTCCTTCAGGGCCTCGCACAGGGTCCTCGCCTGCAGCCCCGGCATTCTCAGCCTCGGCTCTGCTGACAGTTTGGCCTGGGGGATTCTCTGTTGCAGGGTGAATTGTGGGATGTTTAGCAATATCCCAGCCTCTACCCACTGGTGCCAGTATCTCCCCGGAGCTGTGAAATCCAAAACATCTTCAGACATTGCCACATGTCCTGGGGGGTCAACATCCAGCCCCTGCCACAGAGAGCCACTGCTTCAGCCTAGCCATCTTCCCTTTCTCCATTCGCCCCAGCCTGGCTGTGACTCCCCTAGATGCCACCACACCAGGATGCTTTCAATGTACAAAATACACGCACAGCACTGTGAGTGCCCTGCTGGATAAAAGGTAAACAGTATTAGGGAAAAACTAAACATTCAAATAACATTAAAAGGTTATTTGGTGCTTTTACAGGTGCATTGTTCATCACCCTGTCATCTGCGAGCTTTTCTTTCATTCATTCTTGTCGTCGATCCAGAACATGTTAGCCTTCATTATTAAAGCTGGCAATTGTCAGTGCAGGGTGGTTCTTCGGAGCAGCTGCGCTGTGTGGGAAGGTCACCTTCTTCTGCTGTTTTCCGTGGCAGCGCTGCCAGAGCACTTCTCCTGGGGTGGGTGGAGGGCCCAGTTTGGAAGTGTAAGTCTCGTTTCTCCTGCTGGTGTAACACTCCAGACAGGACAGCCCTATCAGGACCAAGTAGTTTACAGTCAGTCCTATCAGGACCAAGTACTTATTTGCAGACTTGAGTGTGCACAGGGTTGATATAAGTAGGTCTTTGCACCTACCCACCAGAATCTTAAAAGTTTCTACAGAGACCTTCGCTGGGCTCCATTGCGTGTGCCATGCAGATGGTCTCAGCAACACCTACTCTCGCAGGGCTATGTCTGTCGGTTTCTAGTGTGTGGAAGGTAAGGGGAAAGCACATTCCAGGCACAGAAGAGGGGGTGAGGAGCCTCTGATTGCCTGGGTCCAGCTCCAAGGTCAGCAGAGGTCACAGCCTCTTGAGGTCCTGCTCTCACAGGCAGACGGGTGGGATTTCAATAGAGGAAGTCATTCTGGGAGTCATGTCCCTCACTGGCCAGAACACCCTCTTCCCGGACCATTCAATCTCACACTCTCAGTCACAGATCTCTCAGAGCCTACCCACTTCCCTTAATTCAGACTTTGTCATCTTTTACCTAGATCAGTGGTCTTACGACTTTTTAAATCATTCACCTTATCAGTACTAAGTATTTGAGTAGACAGATATCCCACAGTACATATTCAATTCTTTATATAAAATGTATTGCATGTCCTATTATCAGTACAGCATGAAAAAAATGCTCAACCCCATTAGTCATTAAGGAAATAAAGTGGAAGTCAAAACCATTTATTAGGGGTGGCTATGAGTGTTTTAAATCTTTTTATTTACAAAAGGAAAATAATGTGTTGGCATGGATATGGAGAAATTAGAACTCTCATGCATTGCTGGTTGGGATGTAAAATGAAGCAGCTACTTTGGAAAACA